TTTAGTTATTAAACGTTTTTTACAGAATGATAAGGTGCAAATTAATAAATAAAATGAAAAGGTTATGAATCATATCTCTATTGATGATGATCATTTAAATGATAGAGTATATTCATATCACATAAATTATATCCTATCATAACAGTCTCTTATTGGCATATGTGCATCCTGTGAGGATTGCCTTAAGTCATAAAGCTTTATAAGCAAAGATGGATAGTGACTAGCAATGGAATCCACGATACACGTTTTGTCCTATTTGGATAGAGTGATCAATGTAAAGGACCGATATATGGCTAAAACTCTTCAATTATCCTATAGCTTAATAGAAACATATTGTTGTGCACATGATACTTTGTATCATTACATCATTCTACCTTCTCAATGTGTTGTGAAGCCGTAACACATAAGCAATAACCTAGTCAATCGTAAAAGATGAAATCTAGATTTTGATCATTCGAATGAATATCTTGTACCATTTTTATCACGAATTATGTAATTCAGTTGTTTTTTTACACTAAAACGTAAATAATCTAATAATTACTTATTGTTATAAAAAAACAAACGCCGTCAACAACAACAACAACGATTGATCTTTTTGTTTCAAATGAGCCTTCTTACGTAAGTAGACAACCTATACAGACACACACACACACAGTTAAGGACAAGTTTATCATGTCTATTGTTTTCTCATTCAATATAAACATGATTATATCAACCTAGAGGAAGTTAATATTGGTGAAATGTTTATATCTAATCAGTCATTACAACTACTATACTCATTTATTTATTGTCAAATAAAGGTCATTAAGAGATTAAATGAAATATTCAGTTTATTCTAAATAAATAAACAAAAAATTTAAAAAAAAACATTTCAGATTATCCTTCATTTCTCTCTTTTTTTTCTTCTTTTTTTGTGTCATTTTAAAGTGCTTCTTTTAAATTTTCATTTGTTTTAATGCCATTGATGATGATGTTGATGTTGTAGATGATGATTTGGATAATGATGATGATCTGGATGATGATGACGATGGTTTGGGTGATGTTGATGATTTGGATTATGATGATGACGATTCAGATGAGGATAATTTGGATGATGATGATGATGATGATAATCATTTGGATGATGATGACTCACATGGGGAATATTCGGACGATGATGATGATGTAGGTTATTTAGATGATGATCTGGATGATGATGACGATGGTTTGGATGATGATGTTGATGATTTAGATGTGATAATAAAATAATAATCAATGTTTAATTGTCATTTAATAATTTGGATCTGATTTATTTGATATTGAATTCATCATTCATTCATGATTAATCAAGTCCCTTTTTACTTTCATGTTTTTTTTAACGCAAATCACATTAACCTGCTTATAACAAAATTTATTTGTCTGAAACTCTATCATAAATCATAAAAGTTAATTAGATGGTTTCTTCATAGATTTTTTCTTTATAGATGGATATTTTATTGATTCATTATTAACCTTGATAAAGTGAATAATAAGAAATTAGTTTATTTGTTTCTTTCCTCCTCCTCCTCCTCCTCCTCCTCCCCACTTAATTTATTCATTAAATGAAGTCTAAAAAAAAGAAACCACATAGCAACTATACCATGAACATAGAAATGAAGTTTATTAATGATGGTTAATGTTCATTATTTTCAATCTTAGATACAATTTAATTGATCGAAAATGAACCTAATAATCGTATCTTATTATTATTTCATCTTTTAGGATGGTATACCATTTTTGTTAGAATATTTGAGCTGATCAATCTCAATTTCTCAATGATCTAGTAATGAATATAAAAAAGAGATAATATTTTCAGACATTGAATAGTAACACCTTAACTAATAGAGTTTTATAAATGGTTACCTTTAGACAGTATAAAAAATAAATCTTACTTAGTCATTATATTGTCAGTTGTGTTAAACAGAGATCATTAAAGATCTAGAGTTTCTTAAGGATGATCAGGAAAGTTTTTATTTGATAATAATAATAATAATAATAATAATAATAGTAAGGATAGTAGTGTAAATGATGCTAATAATAATAGATTTAACAATTAGTTAACATGTTATGTAAATCAATTTCGGTAGAATGTTAAAACTCTAGCTTGTCTAACGATTTATATGTATTCAGTGTAACAATATTTCAACTATCTAGTTACAGTATATTCAACGAAATAACTATCATGAGATAAACTTCTATTTAGAAATGGAAGATTTCATCATTTCGATTATAAACATTGATTCAGTGCTTTATTCTATAAAATGTCAGATAACTATACTGACACACTTCAAAAATAAGTAAAGTATCCAAATTGATTGACAGATTTCCTTGTAAATGAATTCATAATTGTATCATACACATTGTCAATCATAACTCCTATTACAGTGAACATCAGATGAAATAAGTCTCAACTGATCATTATCTACCAGACATTTAGTATCACTAGAGTATGATAAATAGATATCTACCTAAAATGTATCTTCTCGCTATATCAGTGAGGCTTATAGTTGAGTTTACATGAGACGCTATCATTCAAACACAGAGCTGAATTCATTTCTGAAATTATTCAATTTAATACTGATAAATAAAAACCAGTTATTATTCACCTTTATGATTTAATATTTACTACTCATAAGTTACCCGTTGATGTAAAGATTTTATAAAGTCAATGACAATTGATCAAAAAACAAAGTTCATAGGGTTATTATGCTATAACAAAATATTTATTTGATTTTGCTAGTAACGATATGATTTTGGAAAGTTTTTAGTGCGGCTGTTCATTTCGACGTCAACTAGATCGGACTATGTTGTTTACGGATTCATCACTTTAGTGGCTCTATATCTGACTCTAATTGAATTGTATGCTGATTGTTATCGAAATACACATGTCGGCCATCCTCATATATTTCATCGACTTAAATCTCGTTGGTGAATAACGGAATTAAATAAGTTTGTTCAGTACAATCATTAATCCAGACAGACAATAAGAGAAACGAAACGAGACGAAACGATAGACGGCGGAGAAGGCAAGTGAGCCACCTCCATTTAATCAAGCGTGAATCGATATTTATAGCTAGATAAAAACAGGTTACAGACATGTAATGGGTAAGATAAGAATTGCACGCATATACACTTACATAAAAACAGCCAGGTTTGACAAGCAAATAATTTTGATAGTTGAGATAATGAGTCAATTGAAGCTAAACTACCACGGAAAACCTGGAAGCACTGGAAAGACATTTCTTCCTGTTGCGTGGCTCCTTAGCACTGCACATCCACGATCCCGCCTTGCGAGGTCCGAACCCAGGACGTATCGATCTCGCGCACGAACGCTTAACCTCTAGACTACTAAGCCGGCATCCAACGGTGTTTATGTCTAACTTCAACTAATCCACGAAATTGAGCGACACATCCACATCCAAAGCTAGCTTCAATTGACCTATGATCTCAACTATTAAAATTACTATAATATCCACAAAAACCCCTTCCGATATTAAGCGATGATAATTAACAAAATCAAAACGTGACTCCAGAAGAATGAGCAGATTGGCCTGTCTATAAGCTAGAATAAGGTATATGGATTTAACACAGTAACCAACACTACAAGTTTATATTCATATCTCTAAACTCAAAACTTCTAACAATGTTTTTTGGTAAATGTTTACGACGAAACTATAATTTACGGACGAACCAATGAGATTTACGATAACAAGTCTTGGATTTTGGCGTGAAATTCATTCACCCATTCGTTCACATAGCGTCTTGCCATTTTAGCTGATGTCACTTCGTGATGAAAACCATAAATCTAAATCCTAACCCTTACCATCAACTGTAAATCATTATTATTATTCCTTAAACTGCTTTATAACCTTCATTTAACCCTATTAAATAAGTAAATACTCTTAAGGTCAAGTTGGCGTCGCTCAAATGTCGTCCATAAATTATATTCTTACCGTGTTTACTTAGAAAGGTTTAGGTAGACAGCCAGCTGTTTAACACTGAAAGAAATTTTACATTACTTACAAGTGATGATAAATTTTTATCACAATATTCATCATAAGAAACAACGTTGAAATGAATTAACAATTGAACAACAAGTGACATTTATGCTGTATTTCAATTTATAACAATCTTCATTATATGTAGGAATATGGCTCTTATATGTAGACAAAAATAATATTCATATACAGACCTTTATAGACAAAACATACTGCACTATGCACCATTCTTAAAGACTTATACACAACTAAATACTTGAGTATCAACAGGAAATTTTTCATTAAAGTTTATCTATGATCTACAGATACACTACGTAAAACGATAATAGATGGAGATACACTTCAAATGTTTTTTTAAAGATTATAACAACATTTATCGATGGTAATTGATTATTTTTAAAGTTTGCTGCCAAAGAGGTGGTCATAGAGACCTGAGAGCGTTGCCCCAGGGGCAACTGCTTGAGGCCGGTCATACACAACCTTTCGTGTTAGCTCCGTACTTGTTGAGACCTTACCGCCGGAGGCAGATGTCCATGGGATAAGGCGAGGTGTTCATTTTTAGCGTCGAAGTTTTCTAACCTCACCCTTCCTTGTGTGAAGGGAGCATCGCTGTTATGCTGGTTGTCTGAAGAAAAACACCTTACCACCGTCACACCTCTGTACAGTCGGTGGTACGACTTCGCCTTCAGACCTTGGGTTTGTTGCATTTGGTCTTACCGCTCTCCAACCGACATATCTGACATGGTAGAACCTTGAGGAATGATTGTTCTAGCCAGTATAGCTCAATTGGGTCATCAAAATAGGCAAGCACACCCACAAAGTCAAGGTAGCAGCAACGGTCGGGACCTGTAAGATATAATTTTATATTAGTCTTTTTAAGATAGTTTTTATTGTATAAAATAAAAGTTATATGATATTGATTTGCGTCATATTCTACTTACTTATCTCCCTCTCTCTCTTTGTGCATATTACACATTATTTCAGATTTGGAAAGAATATTACAACGACAAAAACGTTTTGATGATTTATGTACATTATATACAATTTATGAACCAGATCAAGTTGTAACACAATGTTGTTGTATTGGTTGTAATCGTAAATATTTAGAACAATTTTGTAATCCAAATTAAAAAAGAAATTATTTTTCAAAAAAAAATTTTTCTATTCTAGAAATAAAAGAAAAAAAGAGAAAAAAAGTATAAAGAAAAGAAAAATTAACTTTATTTTCATTGGTTGAGAAAAAAATAAAAAAATAAAAATTATTTTCATCCAAATGGTTTTTCTTTTTTTTAGACATTTTAATGTACTTCGGATAGATGTATATACGTCAGTGTAATAAAGTTTTAGCTTATAAAACTAGGAACATTCTAAAGAAGTTTATTTTCTGTATAACTTTCACTTATTAGATTATTATTCAGTTTATTATGAACATTTGTCAATCAATATGTCTAGCCCTCAAATACCTTGATATGGCTGATAGTGTGAAGAGTCAGCTCTCTCTCTCTCGAAATGTTCTCACATGGGTATGTGCATACAACCACTACCATGGTAGTCCTACTCAATGTCTTCTTGTGGCGGGGTTATTGTTTATGTAATTGGGAGAATGAAAAGCGAATGTCCGGTGCTTTAACCGGGTTGGTGGATAAGGTTACCGTGGGACCGCATCTCCTCAGGTTGCTTCACTGCCTTGTGGATTAGACCTTTAGGTCAAAGGCCCCAGGTGTAATCCCTTACGGCAACAACCGGCTTCGGTTTGGGCACCCAGGTAGTAACCTAGCCCTCACACAAATCGAATGATTTATGTAGCGCATATCTATTTGGTTTCGCCTTGTACCAATGTTTATGCGTTCAAATAAATACTAAACGAATAACATTATGTCATTAAAACAACTAGAAAATTATGATACACTACAATATAGAATATACATAATGCTCTAATCAACTAACATTGTCCATTCATCTTGTAGATCACTAACACAGATGATATTTGTCGAATGATTGACGGCCTACTCGAGTTAGACGGGAATGGTGTAACCAAAAGCTAATTTCAAAGTCACACGTCGTCGTCAGTATCTAACATGGATTGCCCCTTCGACGTATCAAGATGTTATAACACAAAGGACGTTATTACGGAAATATATTAGTAAGAATTAGCACAAAGAAGATTTTGAGACCACCAACGCATGGGCCAATCCATGGCATATGATTAACTAATGCGCGTCGGTCGTGCTTGACTTTGACAGGGATTGATGATCTGTTCAGTATTCAGTGACCTAACTGCCGGATCATTTGACTAGGGCTCAGTTACATTTCAAGGATCCTACAATCTGGCTTGTTCCTCAAGGAAGTGTCTAATTAGGTCCTTAGGTTAATTATTAAGCAATAAATACTCCTTCTAAAAGTATTTTCTTTGGTTTAGATTGAACTTCTGTATAAAACCTAATAGTTAGGCATACTCTATAGTGGTCTTTAAAACGATGAAACATGGATTGTTAGATTGGTATAAAATGTAAACATTAAATCTATGACTGGAGATATAAGCTGATAAACCTCAATAATATTCTGATGATATTCACATTATACATTTGATTCAAAGCTTTTATTCGACTATCATCATGAAGGTAGCTGAAGAGATTTCTATATTCATAATAAAACACAAGTGAAATTGTCAACTGTTATTGGAATGTATAATTTGTAATTGATTCGATAAACATTTAGGCTAAATATACCAAGAATAGTTAAATTCAATAATAAACATTTGGGTACAGTAAACTATCCTGAAAAACAATCAATGAATTACTATCAAATATACAATCAAATTACATGTATAAGGTATATTCTATTACAGAGGGTAGTAGAATTTCGTTATTATTTGAAAGCGATTTATAATAAGCTTAACTTATATAATGACACATGATATAATATCAAAATGTTGATATTATAAATTCTGAAGGAATAATATCTCGTTTATACTGACAACTGGATAAGGATAAAAATATACTAATTACCTTGAAGCTTCAGCATGAATATATCAGAATGCTAAAGAAGTTATAAAAATTATATAACATCAATTGAGATATAATACGAGGTAAATAAACATCAGCAAATTTAAACAATAAAATTGATTAAAATTCATGAGATAAATGTGAAGCTGGAAAACACGTTAATAAGAAGAACGGCTTGGTAACATCATAAGAGTGAATGAAGCAAAAAAATAAATGAAATAAAATGTAGAAAAGAAATCCACAGAATCATAAAGAAAAATAAGGAAGACGAATAAAAGAAAATAAAAAATTAAAAGTATTAAGAAAAAAATCAGAAAAACATCATGATGAGAAAAAACGTGGGATGCTCTATAAAAAGAAGATGGTGCGAACAATATCAAAATTTGACTCGATACACTGTGTCTAGGTGGTGTGCTATTCGATCGTCTCACAGACACCACAACCACTATTCCGGTCAGACGAAACGGCTCGACAAACGTGCCGACTGAGAAGTAGCTGTGTGCACTGGTCGAGTGTGAGTGGTGTGATGTGGTCGGAGGAATGCATCTTGAAGTGTTTCACGTGGTCAGTGGTCATTGGTAGTTTAAAGACACCTGATAGGATGAGGCTCCTCCGTCACTCGAACTCGGGTCACTGGATTCGCAGGTGACAGTGGCAACCGCCACACCACCAGACAGTAGATGCACGCTCACCGCATACATAACATCACACATTCACACCACACATACAAACGACACGACATGCCATCAACAACATCGTTTCACTCACACAAAATATCCCACAGTGCACGCCAACAGTGCAATCACATACACACGTGCTCACTCACTCACTCACTCACTCACTTGCTAGCTCGCTCACGTAATGTCACACACACGCAATGTCACACACACGCACACACAAGCATCAATACTGGAACAGTCTGTGAAATACAATGGCTCAATCACACATATGCGTAATCACATGCAGGTGCAGAAGTGTGGAGTAGGAGGAATCTGTGTGCATATGTGGTAGCCTCCTGGACATGTGTAATTGGGACACGCGTACGTAGTGGTGGGTGTGTGACCGCAATCGGTCGAACACAGACGACATAGTAGTTTGTGAATCACAGTTTGCCGTTCAGCCTGTTGATTGACCAGGTGATTGATCAGACTGAGGAGTGGTGTTGAGTGCAATGGTGAAGTGTGATTGGGACGACGTGATCGAAGGGTAGTTGCGAAGTGATGCACATGGAGAGTGATAAATTCGAAAGTGCTCTAGGCACTAGCACTAGGCCTCGCCGAGACTCGAACTCGGGTCGCTGGATTCAAAGTCCAGAGTGATAACCGCTACACCACGAGGCCACCTTCGCGACGTAACCAAACACACCACACCACATATTTACAACATACCTACATCATACCGACAATTTATCAACGACAATTCCTCACACAATTATACATTCCACTACCAGGATCCACAACTACTACTACATCATCAACACTACAACACGCCATTTCCATATTCATCTTCATCTTCATCTTCATCTTCATCTTCATCTTGTCCTTCACATTCGCCGTCACCTACATCTACACACACAACAAAACTGAACCAATCACTCTTCCTCACATCCACGTGCATGCGCGTGGAGCAGACCGACAGTCAGACAAACATCTCAATCGCCCAACAGAATTCCTGTCTTCCTGATTCACTCACTCACCCACTCACTCACTCACTCACTCACTCACACACTCACTCAATCACTCAATCACTCAATCACTCAATCACCAACACACTCACTCACTCTCTCACATACCCTCTATCCAACTCACACGTCCACGAACACACTTGCACAGACACATTGACATCGCTGAAGCGTCCATCTATGTCATCCAATACAACAAGCTATCCAGGACAGCATCAACATCTGACTCGATACACTGTGTCTAGGTGGTGTGCCATTCGATCGTCTCACAGACACCACAACCACTATTCCGGTCAGACGAAACGGCTCGACAAACGTGCCGACTGAGAAGTAGCTGTGTGCACTGGTCGAGTGTGAGTGGTGTGATGTGGTCGGAGGAATGCATCTTGAAGTGTTTCACGTGGTCAGTGGTCATTGGTAGTTTAAAGACACCTGATAGGATGAGGCTCCTCCGTCACTCGAACTCGGGTCACTGGATTCGCAGGTGACAGTGGCAACCGCCACACCACCAGACAGTAGATGCACGCTCACCGCATACATAACATCACACATTCACACCACACATACAAACGACACGACATGCCATCAACAACATCGTTTCACTCACACAAAATATCCCACAGTGCACGCCAACAGTGCAATCACATACACACGTGCTCACTCACTCACTCACTCACTCACTTGCTAGCTCGCTCACGTAATGTCACACACACGCAATGTCACACACACGCACACACAAGCATCAATACTGGAACAGTCTGTGAAATACAATGGCTCAATCACACATATGCGTAATCACATGCAGGTGCAGAAGTGTGGAGTAGGAGGAATCTGTGTGCATATGTGGTAGCCTCCTGGACATGTGTAATTGGGACACGCGTACGTAGTGGTGGGTGTGTGACCGCAATCGGTCGAACACAGACGACATAGTAGTTTGTGAATCACAGTTTGCCGTTCAGCCTGTTGATTGACCAGGTGATTGATCAGACTGAGGAGTGGTGTTGAGTGCAATGGTGAAGTGTGATTGGGACGACGTGATCGAAGGGTAGTTGCGAAGTGATGCACATGGAGAGTGATAAATTCGAAAGTGCTCTAGGCACTAGCACTAGGCCTCGCCGAGACTCGAACTCGGGTCGCTGGATTCAAAGTCCAGAGTGATAACCGCTACACCACGAGGCCACCTTCGCGACGTAACCAAACACACCACACCACATATTTACAACATACCTACATCATACCGACAATTTATCAACGACAATTCCTCACACAATTATACATTCCACTACCAGGATCCACAACTACTACTACATCATCAACACTACAACACGCCATTTCCATATTCATCTTCATCTTCATCTTCATCTTCATCTTCATCTTGTCCTTCACATTCGCCGTCACCTACATCTACACACACAACAAAACTGAACCAATCACTCTTCCTCAC